CACCTGTGTTAAAAGACCACCTTTATAAAGAGACCACCTGTGGTAAGAAACCATCTCTATAAAGCGACCACCTGTGGTAAGAAACCATCTCTATAAATGGACCATCTGTGGTAAGAAACCATCTCTATAAAGAGACCACATGTGTTAAGAAACCATCTCTATAAAGAGACCACATGTGGTAAGAAACCACCTCTATAAAGAGACCACTTGTGGTAAGAAACCACCTCTATAAAGAGACCACTTGTGGTAAGAAACCACCTCTATAAAGAGACCACATGTGGTAAGAAACCACCTCTATAAACAGACCACATGTAGCAAGAAACAACTTTTATTATTCCTCACTGCAATTATTATCTTGCTAACTGAACCTTTATTAAGAGAACACCTACAATAAATTACCACTTAAGGCACTTCTAGGGTTGACTGAATCTCCTTTACCACGGAATACAAACTCCTTACCACGGAATACAAACTCCTTACCACGGAATACAAACTCCTTACCACGGAATACAAACTCCTTACCACGGAATAAAAACTCCTTACCACTGAATTAAAACCCATTATTTTGTTCTGGCTATGGATCAGTTCACACAATAAAGATCCAATAGCTACATCACTTGGCAAGTTGAAATTGAAGTCCAGTTGTCAGCTGAAACATTGATTATCATGGCAATGTTGTGCAGACTCATTACGAATGATGCCGCAGAAAGCGATGTTTGTCAGGTTGACCATTCTGACCAGTGTCCTTATTATTGTTGAGTTTTGTAGATCCTGAAACCCCAGTTGGGCTGACCACAATGTAGTTACAAGTCTCCTCATTGCATTTTGTCTTTTCATCACTCTTAGTTTGCTATGAATTATTAACAAATACACAGATTTATGAAAGTGTCAAGCAGTCTCCAGTCCATTTCAGCTAACATCTCCACGCTGGTTGACACTGGGTCATGAATTTGACCGTTGTATATAACAGATGGTGTTTAGACATAAACAATTCACACAGACCTGCCTTGTTAGGTCCCGACGAACCATCCAGAATGTCAACAAGTGAGGTTATAGCCCCTATATATATATTGTCAACATTTTTACACCAGGGACATGCCTCACATCTATCATGTTCATTTTCTCCAAATATTCTGCCAAAATTGCATGTCATGTCCGTGGTGGGACCATTCGTATGAGTTAGGTAGGCTACTTTTGTGACATTGTCTGATAATATTTTGAAAGTTTTTGAAAAGATCCAACCCCTGAATGTCACTCGAGTCATGATTAGCAAAGCTAGCAATTCTCTGTGATTTGAAAGTAGATGTTCCACAGTACTCATGCACACAAACCTTCACACCCCAGCCAGTCCTGAGACAGTAGATCATCCATTCACCATTTTAAATCCTGTTATTTTCCCTCCCAAGATGACTTTTATCTTCAATATCCTGTAAATGAAATGAATGTTAAGTTTCCCATAAAACTTTTGCAAAGAGACATACATGGTTCATTCTGGCGTTAATACATTGGTAACCGATAAATATTTTTGTATTTTCGTTAACTCCCCCCCCACCCCACCCTTCCATCCTCGAAATTCCGGGGGGTACGCTCACTGAACATTCTATACATCCGTGGAATATGGCATGACAAAATCAAACGCTCCGTACACACCACCTTGTGGATAATACAAGCAGACTTGTTTGATCCATTGATTTGAAACAGAAAGAAACTCAGTCCGGTTTCCTTCCTCTGTTTTTCTTCAAAGGACAGGTATCCACCTAGCCAATATTGGTCAGTTTTTTCTACCTGAAACTGATATATTAGTTCACCATGTGCCCCCATATTGTTATGCCATATTCCAGGTGTGTAGATATAATGTAAGTGAGTGTAACCCCTGAAATTTTGAGGATGTCTAAACCTCGCAAACACCTGTTTTCTGATGCTATGTGATACCCATTATTTTAACCCTACCCGCTAAACGAACCTTGTTACATGTGGTGGACATTCTCGACATTTAAAATTGTGAAATACCATATCACACAGTAATGTAGCCTGGTTTACAAGATTGTGTGTGATTGCATCTATCCATACCTGGGCTATAGAAAGGCTTCAAATTGACTGAATAGTTATCCAAGTTGTCTGATCTTCAGCTTCTGTTTCATCAACATCTTCCAAATGACATGCATAGTTTGTAAACAACAGTTTGGGTGATTTGGTGTCAGTAGGACCAATAACGACAATGAAAATAGGACTCCAAAATCACTTCTGGTCTTTACTTCCAAAATCACTTCCTGTTTTCACTTGAGGTCCTTGTGGGTTCCATGTATGTTTTTCCTTAGGTTGAAAAGGCTGAACTATTTTGACGACGTGGTGATGCAGTATGTTGGATTTCACATTTCCAGGTTACTAATATAACAAGTCAAGTTGTTCAAGTTTTGTTGATTAGGATGAGTAAAAGCTATTGCTACACTTCCAACTTTCCCATTTTCATCAATTTTGAGTTTAACTCATTCACCCCTGTAGAAACATTTTAACTCTTCCAACTCAAAGGTTGGAATAGTTCATTATGAAATTTCAGGGGTGAATGAATTAGATGGTTTTGTTTACAGTATTACCAGTATTGGTTTGTTTTCTTGTCCTAGTTTCATACTAAATATAGATCTTATGGAGGTCGGTCATGCAGAGGCCATCTTTACTTATGCAAAGGTAAGGTCTCAAGATGACCTTGAACCACATTCAAGGTTGCCTGGGTCAACTATTTTCAAAATGTAGAATATCTTGTTACATTGTTTTTATCCCGTTTATAACCACATCATTATTAACCCTTTCACCCCTATGTAAATTTAGTAGACTCTACCATGCATTGATATGAAGGGGTCCAATATGGTCTACAGTGGTGAAAGGGTTAACTTCTTTATCCTTACACTGCCAAGTTGTAGTGACATCAGTGACATTTTAGTAAAGCTTGACGAGTTCCTTGGTAACTCCCTATTTTAACAACCTCTATCAATCAAACTGTCCTTAAATGATAAGCCAATGAACTTTCACGTTCCTCTTGTAGGTATCTAATTTGAACTTGTTAAGTTCTGGAGAGTTCCTGGAGCTGGTAATTTGTACTGAATTTGCTATCATCAATTTTCCACAGGCAATTCAATGTGGCCTCTATGTAGTTGTTTCATTTTCCCATGATGGTAAAGTTTTGCTGATCACTACGTTTTATGTCTCGCCCTGAAGTAACGTAAACAGATGGTTGTCACGATGACATAATACACTCCACTTTGGGCAAGCAAGATACTGCTACTGATACAAAATATCACACAACTTTTTTGCAAGAAATATCCTGAAATTACGCTTTATACTCCTAGAAAGGTCTGCTGTACATGTAAGTGTTCTCTGTTTTGGAATTAATTGTCACAAATACAAAACATAAGTGAGCAGACGTTCACGTATATATACCCCACCAAAACAAAACAGTCTTGATCAATGGCATCAAGTTCTAATCAGGTGTAAAACTTAATATTACTGCACAATGTTTTTATCATAAACTCAATCTGGTGAGGTGTTTTTTAGATACATTAAATACCCAAGCTTTTCACTTCCAATAAAGTAGTAAATGTTGACCTATGACCTATGACTTATGACCCTTCATATTCAACAGATGACCACCAAATTCTAATCAGGAGTCGAGCTTGATGCTATGGTACTATCATAATGATGTAAATATGATCTGGGCCTGTATTAATGAAACCGTTCTCATGCTCAAACTCACATTTTGTGCTCAAACCAAACTTCCGGTTCAGGTGAAAATGTAATTTAGAAATACATTTCATCAATGGATTGTACAAATTTTGGATGGTGTATTAGTGAAATCCCAACAATGATCATAAGAAATCCCTCATTAATTCTGGTATTGTCAAATCACCTCAACCTGCAGATTACAGTTCAAAATGTCTACAGTTTTTTTTCACAGTGTCACAAGATTCAAGCTGGTTACAATCAAGTTGGTTTGAGCACAGAATCCAAGCTAGAGTATGTGATCGGTTTCATGAATACGTGCCCTGAATCTGTTGATCGGTCCATGAGATATTTCATACACACAGGGTTAGTGATACAAAGACTTTCAAAGTATCAAGGTACCAAAAGAAAGCCATCAAAAAGTCACTTGTATCATATCAGGGGTTTACAACACATGAAGTAAGGAATTCATGACTTTCTGAATGCTTTTACTTTGGCTGCTCCCAAACTCATCTCTCCCAGTGTTTTTGTTAACAATGAATAAATAGTGTGTCGGACTAGCAATCATTTAACAGAACTGCCAAGAAATCACCAAGAGGCAGGTGGTACGGAATAGCTCACCTATTTCCATTTTACTCCCGCTCTTTGAGCTACACTATTCATTAGTAAAAACATTTAGCTCAGTGAGTTTCCTACCAAGCTTAGTAAAATCCCTTCGAACATTCAGGACCAGTAGCGAAGAAAAATTGACAGGCGGACCATGAACAATGGTGATAGGTCACTTGACCTCAGGTCACATGACTTAACAACATACCACAGCATATAGTCCGTACGGACAAACTTACAACATGGCGTTTCCACAGAAACAAGCTAATGAAGACCGCGGACAAGTTTTCGGGTCGCCACCATGATCTCATTAGAAAATATGATATGTCTTTGAGTAATTTGACGATCAGTGTTTTTGATTATGCTCATTAGCCCGTCTACTCATTTTGCTGTCAGTACCCCAGTTCTCCCCATGAGGACGTGGCATTACTTTGATTTGACCTAGATTTACAAGGCAGGAGTCATCGATGAAGGAGAAGACACTAAACTACCCTTCGGAACACCTCGCCTTATTTCCCTTGCACATTTCCAAGGGTCTCCATGTAAGTCCTTCCTTTGTCCATATTTTGCCCAAGTTTTATGGATTTTGAGTCTGAGTTATGGTTTTGCTGACACTTCTGTATTGCCTTGTTGTTTTACAGTGCCAATTGGAACTTGTGCATATATGATCAAGCACTTACCCATAGGTGGAGCCGCATCCGTCTCCAGAGAGTTCGACTTAGGACCATCTTCATCCAGACCATCACTATCCAGTTTTGTCTACAATGGAAACCAAGATTTCATTCAAGCACCTCACTAACATCACTAAAATATTCGAAAAATTTCCAATGATAGTTTCTGACCTTAATAATAAAAAAAATATAAAAAAATATGAAACACAAACAAATAAAATTATTTGCCGGAGCATTGTTGTCTCTAAATATGTTCACATTCAATTATAAATGTTCTTTCTGTTACAAGTAAAATGCATGTCTGAGAAAGAAAAATAAAATAAAAATGAATATGTTAAATGGCCTTCTTGATTACTTGATGTTAGCTTTTTTGACAAGAAAAAGTCAATTCAGAATCACCTGTTGTGGTTTGTCTTTGTTGTCCTTGTCTTTGTTGTCCTTGTCCTTGTCTTTGTTGTCCTTATCTTTGTTGTCCTCGTCTTTGTTGTCCTTGTCCTTGTCTTTGTTGTCCTTGTCCTTGTCTTTGTTGTCCTTGTCTTTGTTGTCCTTATCTTTGTTGTCCTTGTCTTTGTTGTCCTTGTCTTTGTCTTTGTTGTCATTGTCCTTGTCTTTGTCCTTGCCTTTTTTAAATATTCCTTTCATCATACCCATGAGTCCTGACTTCCCGCTTGATTCCTGAGGAGGCAGACAACTCTCAATGTACTGTACATTGTCATTATGTTTAAAATTACATCACAATAGATGATCAAAGCTTCAAATTTCTGATCATATGACAAGAAGCCCATAGGGCCTGTATCCCTAACCTGGGTATTTTAACAATCATTGCATATTATCATTAAAAGTAATTTTATGGATAAGTCTCCAACTCAGCAACTGGTTAAAGGGTGGGAATCTGAACCCTTTTGCTGTTATGACCCAGGGACTAAGTCCCCAATGGCAGGGTAGGGCCCTTGAGCCAATCCTGGTAGCATAAATCTGTTAAGTGTGATTATGCCCACTAAGCAGGTATGTGGTTATAACTTTTTGGTCCCCACCCCTCAGCCTTTTTGAGTGTCAGCCACTCAATTTCTATATCTTTATATCATGACCACAGGAGGATACTCCCAACCTGAACCAAGTTTGGATATTTTAATCACATAATTCCATGAAAATCATTAAGTAATTACTACCCGAGGGCTATCAACTTAAGAATTCTTTCAAGTAAGTTCAACTAATAATAAAATCAAAGTAAGAAGAGGCTCATATAGATTTATCCCACCATTCTTCCCACCTATCAAATTTGCTCATGACCTTTGACCCTTATACTTGACTAAAGACTAACAAAATCTATCCTTGGCCCATATTCATGGAACCGTTTTCATGCTCAAGCATGGATTTTGTGCTCAAGACTTATTTCTTGTTTCAGTTATGAATTGTTAATAATATATTCAATATTTACATTTGACTTTTTAATCATTTGACATGACTGAAGCGAATTACAAGAAAGTTGGTTTTAGCACAGAATCTATGCTTGAGCCTGAGAATATGGGACCTGTGGAAGAACTCAGTTTACAATGGTGTAAATATAAATTAAATTTGTTCATGAGATATCTTGTACACAAACTTTTTTATTTCAAAAGTGGTCAAGTGTGATCTTTGACCTTTCACCTTTAACCTTGACTGATGACCATCACAATTTTTAAATGATTAAGGTGTAGAACTTGATACTACCATACTTTGGTATAAATAGGAACTAAATTTGTTTAGGGGGTTCAGGAGATATCTTGTACACAAGGTTTTTACTATAGACAAAGGGATGCATACACGCACACACGCACACACACACACACACTGACCGATACACTGACAAAGCGAATACTATATACCTTCTCATTATGTGGGGGTATAGTTAGTTACTAATGACGATTGATATTGTTGGTCATACCAAAATACTGTATGTGTCTCTTGACAAAGAATTTAATCGTAATTGTCAAACATTACAATATTGTTTGCCTATAAGGAACTATTGTCTGTAATTTTCTAGTAGCAATTAACAAATGTGTTTTATATTACGATGCAATATTACTTACTTTAGAACCTTCTTCTGAAGAAGAGCTCCTTGCCATTCCACCCGATTTTGACGCACCACCAGGTGGAAAGTCAGATATAGATTTTGATTTAGAGTCTTTTTTCGAGAATTTGCCCATTTCTTCGTGCCTTTTCATTCGCTCCATCTCCATCCTGTGCATGGGGTATCTCATCTTCTTTCTCATTTCGTCCATATCTGTGGATAAGGAACAAGCTTTCACAATTTTCGTACAAGTGGAAAAACCGAGAAGATCAGTCTATTCAGTGGCAGACAGCACACACAAACATGGCCATCCTCGAAATTCCAGGAGCTACGTACGCTCTCTAATGATCTCTGCACCCCTGGAAATTTCATGACAAAATTGAAGGCTCTGTACATGATCACCCTTTGTGGATGATAACAAGAGTACCGCGGGGCGGAACAAAATACGCCCGTTGAATGCCATATAGTGTTATATACTTTCTTACATTGAAATAAGATCTGCATCATCCTAAGAGTGGTTAGCTGATATGCTATAAAAATTGTAGGAGAAAATCTTCAAAGAGATCCGTTGAAAAATGTAGGAGGAGATTGCCGGACAAAAATCAAATACTGAAATGAACAAAGGGCAATAACTTTCGGAAAAGTTGTCGAATCAAAATTCTGTTAAGGGAGACACAACTTCATATCATGATTATCATGTATACCAAGTTTCAAATAGATCGGTCGAAAAATGTAGGAGAAGATCTCCGGACAAAATTCAAATACTGAAATGAACAAAGGGCAATAACTTTCGGAAAAGTTGTCGAATCAAAATTCTGTTAAGGGAGACACAACTTCATATCATGATTATCATGTATACCAAGTTTCAAATAGATCGGTCGAAAAATGTAGGAGAAGATCTCCGGACAAAATTCAAATACTGAAATGAACAAAGGGCAATAACTTTTGGAAAAATTGTCGAATCAAAATTCTGTTAAGGGAGACACAACTTCATATCATGATTATAATGTATACCAATTTTCATATAGATCGATCAAAAAATGTAGGAGGAGATTGCCGGACAAACAAAGTTTACACCGGACGGACGAACACCATACCATAATACTACCGTCAAATTTGACGGTCGTATAAAAATAGATTAGTTTGTACATCAAAGGAATGGTGTGGCAACGGAACAATGAAATTGACTGGCTTTGATGTCGGTGTGTCGCTTTTCTGTAAGGGCAGGTATCAGCTTAGCAATTGGTCAGGATATTTTTTAATCTGAAACCAATCAAATAGCTATCTGCTACCTTTAAGGTTATTATGACATATTCCTGCAGGGGTGCAGAGAAAGTAAGCGAGCGTAACCCATGACATTTCAAGGATGAAACATGGCATATTTATCGTCAACCAGCCATTTGCCAGATAACTTACGTATTAGGGTAAATATTTTGGAGGAGGTAATGTGTTGATAGTTTTGAGAATATTTGGATATATTTGATGGTCATCGTTTGTTCAGGGAGATGTTCACCTTATCAGAGGGTCTGGCGACAATTTGAGGGAAACGCAGAAAGGAATTCTTAAGAAAAATGAGGAAAAGGGACTTCGAAATATGTTGGCAGTAAGTGAGGTGATAAATAAAAGGAAGGGTGTTTTATCAAGGTTTTACTGTTTTTTAGGGTTGTTAATGTATTTTAACAGAACTTTCTTTAGTTTTATTATTCTTCAATTCATTGAAATTTTATTCTGTTAACTCACTGACCCCTGAGGACACATTTGAACCCTTCCAATTCAAAGGTTGGAATACTTCATAATGAAATTTCAGGGGTGAATGAGTTAAGGTTGGTATGTATATTTTTTTTACACATCAGTTTTACTCACGATGTGGCTTCATGTCATTCATCATCGCCATGTCTCTCATCATCATCATATGCATATCCTCGTCATCATCGTCCATGTCATGCATGGGGTGTCGTCGCATGTTCTTTCGCATCTTTGGTCCAGCCATCTCCATCATCATCATCAGGTCCTCGGGGCCTCTCATGTCGCGGAAACGCATCATCTCAAGCATACGCCTGAAGGAGATATTTATTCCTTCATGAATTAGAATATTCATACATATCTTTTCCATGGTGTTATGTATTAAATGCCTTGCCACAAATTTACATATCCATCAATATTCATCAAACATTTATCATCACTTACGGCTGTAAAATAAAGCCATTTCAATTGAAGGTAAAAGAACTCATTTAAATTTAGTAAAATCAAGTTCAGCAATTGACTTAATTGGTGTCAAGTTTAATACAGCTATTTTAAGCTATGAGCTGCTATCAGTTGGCATTCATAGGCAATATGAATGCCAACTGGACTAAAACAAATCCAACATGAAGCACACTTCATGTTTTATTTGTCTTTGTCAAGTTGGCATTCATATTGCCTATGAATGCCAACTGATAGCAGTTCAATGCTGATTAACAATTTTCCTCATGGAAAATTCATTTTACACTTATTAGTATTCAGCATTGAGTTCAAATATGGTATTTATCGTATATGCTCAGTAAATGTATAGCACATCCAGGGAGGGTCATTGGTATCAACGTAACAGCTATGATGTCATAATAATGATGACATCAACAATCGGCTTACAGCATTCATAGCCTATATGAATGATATCTGGCACTGTCGTACAAAGGTAAATTCATTCTCATTTCTCCCAATTGTTTTAGCATACGAAGTAACGGCTGTAATTTAGGAGCACAGCATCAGGTGACTTACATGCGGTTTCTGGACTGGTTCTCGCTGTAACAGCTTGTGTAAGAGGAGTAGCCGTTTAATCCCTGTAACATCTTCAGAAACATGTCTGGGTAATTCCTGAAAAAGTGACAACAGGTGGTGTTGAAATAATAATAATAATTTGAGGTTCTTACATACCGCTTTATCACAACCTAGGTCGTAGGTCCTCTCAAAATAGTTCACAAACTATTATCCATGGTTATTGGGCCACAGCAACCAGCTTATATCGTAATTCTCAAATCCCTGCGGAGCATACAGCTGGTGTTGCCATTTAAGCACTCACAGTTAGACTTCAACAATTCCTGAGCACTGCCAAACCTCATACTCATTTACAGCTGAGTAGACTGGAACAAGCGAAGTAAAGTATCTTGTTCAAGAATACAACACAGTGCAGAGTGACATGACCCGAACCTGTAACCCATTAGTCACGAGCCCAGCATTCCACGCCTAGACTTCCGTACCTCACACCCTTTAAATTTTGTACTAAGTAATAATTGTGCCAATTGATGTGCCTGCATGAGGTTTTGTGGATGTGACAATTCATCAATGCAATAATCTGTTAATGTTAACAGAAATTTTAAAACAAATCTCATCAATTTATCATTTTTAATGCTTGTTATATTGACTCCAGTTCACAGAATTGGAACATTTTACTTGAACCCTAAGAATTTATTGTGGAAAATTGATAATAAACAAGAGGCCCAATGGGCCTGCATCGCTCATCTGGTATTAAGCTCACACTTGTAATCTTAAAAGTGGACTAAAATACAACTACAGGCAGAATATCAGTGTTTGATTCATAAGAACCAATTAAAAGATTTAAACATATGATGCCTGTGACCTTGAATGTTGTACAAGGACATCAGGTTGAGAGTGGGTCAAGATCATTCATTTGAACACACTTGGTATTCTTGCATCCCAGCATGCTACAGGCCCAATTTCAGTACCCTGGGCCTATTGGTTATTGAGAAGAAGTGATTGAAGATTTAACGACATTTGACCCATGTGACCTTGAAAGTTGGTCAAGGTCATTCATTTGAACAAACTTGGTAGCCCTTCATCCCAGTATGCAACAGGCCCAACATCAGTACCCTGGGCCTTTTGGTTATTGAGAAGAAGTTGTTTGAAAATTTTAACATATTTGACCCCTGTGACCTTGAACGTGGGTCAAGGTCATTCATTTAAACAAACTTGGTAGCCCTTCATCCCAGCATGCTACTGGCCAAATATCATCAGCCTTGGCCTTTTGGTTATTCATAAGAAGTTGTTTAAAGTAAAATATTGACGCCGGACGACGCACCACAGCATAGCCCTCCGGGCCAGGTGAGCTAAAAATAAAGAAAATCTCCTTTTTCTTTTGTGATGTGGGCATATTCAAGGCTAATAAATTGTATAATCATATTGTTGAAAATCAAATTACATTGTAAATTACACATACAGTGAAATATTATTTATAACTATAATTGTAATGCAATGAAACTTTCAAAAATCTTATTTTCCTAGTTTAACAAGAGCTTTCGGAGAACAGCATAGCTCACCTCTGTATGTTATTATAATACTGCAACTATCAATAGAAACACATGTATAGTAAAACGTTGATATAGTGCCTGTCGTTTTATTTGCCACCTCACTTACCACCAGGATATTTCAAAGACTGTTAAATGTGTAGAAACGTCTATGTGAAGTGATTGTTAAGAAATTAACAAAGTCCAATAAAGCTGTTTTTGGACGCTAAAATATGAAAATATGGTTCAACACATTGCTTACACTCAATGCAAATACGTCAACCTTATCATAGACAAAATCCTATTGATGGTGGTGGTCCAACACTACCCAACAAAACTTGCCCAAAAACTTAAACCTTGAATTTAACCAAGTCCAATTAAGCTGTTTTTGGGTCATAAAATATGAAAATATTGCCCAGAACATTGCTTACACTCAATATAAATGACTTAAACTCATAATTCACAACTGTGTATTGAGTGTGATGATCCAACACTGTATGGAAAAAACTTGCCCAAAAACTTTAACCTCGAATTCTAATAAGTCCAATTAAGCTGTTTTTGGGCCATAAAATATGAAAATATTGTCCAGAACATTGCTAACACTCCATATAAATGCTTCAACCTTATAACAGACAACAGCCTATTGATGGTAGTTGTCCAACACTTTACAAAAAAACTTGCCCGAAAACTTTAACCTCGAATTTAACTAAGTCCAATTAAGCTGTTTTTGGGCCATAAAATATGAAAATATTGTCCAGAACATTGCTAACACTCCATATAAATGCTTCAACCTTATAATAGACAACAGCCTATTGATGGTAGTTGTCCAACACTTTACAAAAAAACTTGCCCGAAAATTTTAACCTCGAATTTAACCAAGTCCAATTAAGGTGTTTTTGGGCCATAAAATATGAAAATATGGTCCAGCACATTGCTTACACTCGATATAAATGACTTAAACTCATAATACACAACTGTGTATTGAGTGTGAGGATCCAACATGTTTGGAAAAAACTTGCACCAAAACTTTTAACCTCTGCAGGTTCCCGGACGCTGACGCCGGGATGACTACATTAGCCCCCCTATTCTTCGAATAGGCTAGCTAAAAATGATTTTCACATGAAATATGAAGAAAAACATTCTGGTATGAATCTTTACATGGCTTTTGATTATTTTCTGCTGAAATACAACTTCAAAATTGAAGGGGCCCAATTCACACAGATATGGAGATTTTTCATCTTTTTCACAAAAGATTGTCAACTTCGAAGGTCTGCCGTATTTAAACTGTACTTGCTATCTTGTGCCTGATAATATACGGTATATCGGGTAATTTTTGCAACTGTTACAGTGTTATTTTTGTGTATGACTTCAACTACCAAGGCAACAATGACACAAAACTTTTCCTTTCCTAGGCCTTATTGTAAGATCTAGTTGAGGCTTAAGACAAAGTGTTTTAGTTTAATTCATTCACCCCTGAAATTTTCACAATGAACTATTCCCACCTTTGAATTGGAAGAGTTCAAATGTGTCTTCAGGGGTGAATGAGTTAAAATATTGCAGCATTGTTGCTCAGCCAATTACACACTAAGATGTACTAAACAGAAGGTACAATTATATATGCATCAGATAAATATGCTCAGGTCATTATTTTTAGTCTATTTCAGTCATAGGTGTCAACCTCTGAAACCCCCAATGAGGCGGATTTCCTTCATTCCGCATTTCCAATGAGGGAGAAAGTGCGTGGAACCGTACTGAAACTGTTTTGCTCAATTCATCTTTCCCTTTTAATGTATCAATATAACTTCAAAAAGCATTCATTTGATTCAGATACACCTGTTATGATCATTACACACACTACAGTAACTGGAAGATCATTTGATTCAGATACACCTGTTAGGATCATTACACACACCCTACAGTAACTAGGGGATCATTTGATTCACACACACCTGTTAGGATCATTACACACACCCTGGAGTAACTAGGGGATCATTTGATTCAGACACACCTGTTATGATCATTATACACACCCTATAGTAACTGGAAGATCATTTGATTCAGATACACCTGTTATGATCATTACACACACCCTACAGTAACTAGGAGATCATTTGATTCACACACACCTGTTAGGATCATTACACACACCCTGGAGTAACTAGTGGATCATTTGATTCAGATACACCTGTTATGATCATTATACACACCCTACAGTAACCGGAAGATCATTTGATTCAGATACACATGTAATGATCATTACACACACCCTACAGTAACTAGGAGATCATTTGTTTCACACACACCTGTTAGGATCATTACACACACCCTGGAGAAACTAGTGGATCATTTGATTCAGATACACCTGTTATGATCATTATACACCCCCTACAGTAACTGGAAGATCATGTGATTCAGATACACATGTAATGATCATTGCACACACCCCACAGTAACTGGAAGATCATTTGATTCAGATACACCTGTTATGATCATTATACACACTCTACAGTAACTGGAAGATCATTTGATTCAGATACACCTGTTATGATCATTACAAACACCCTACAGTAACTGGAAGATCATTTGATTCAGACACACCTGTAATGATCATTACACATACCCTACAGTAACTGGAAGATCATTTGATTCAGATACACCTGTTATGATCATTACACGCACCCTACAGTAACTGGAAGATCATTTGACCACAGGATGTAGAATGAGGGAGTTTTGAGGTTTCAGACATGATGGAACAACCTGTTTTCAGCAAATTGTTCACTGCGTCGTAACTATTAATTTCCTGATGAAAATGTGAAAATTACCCTGAACGAACTTAAAGATGAATATAGTATCTTTTCGGAATTGCTATGCATGGTGACTGTACTCACTCTGATAGCTTATAAAGTAGTTCATGCTCCTGGTACAGTACACCAATCAGGAGGTAGGGATCCTTCATTAGGTCAAAGATCTCGTTGTCAATGGTGACTAAAGATGAACCGGTTGTCCCGTTTTCCTTGTCTTTCATTGCCTGTCGCAGCTGGGAAGGGTTGTCCAGCGCCCTCTTCAGGCGGAAGTAGTTCCCTAGTGGCGTAAAGATTAGCATGTACAAAACTTTGTTATACATGTACATTACTTAGAAAACTAAAAAAAAAGTATACTTATTTTCTACCATTTTTTTCATAACTTTTTCAATATAATTTTTCATGTGTATTTTAAATATTATACTCTCTGTGAACTGAAATTTTCAAAACCTAAACTGGAAATTCTGGCATATCCACAACAAAAAAATATATAAACTTTATTTATTTTACAACAATTATAAAACAATTTACATCAACTGATGTTAATAACTGTTGTTGGCCCGGATGTTAGTGTCTTATTTTGGGAGGAAATCGGGGGGAAAAAACCCACGTGGCAGGTAACCCAATAACTTTTCACGTCCGATCAGGGAATCCAACCCCGGCCACCTTGGTGAAAGACAAGTTAGCTGCCCCACCCAACCACCCTAAATACCATACGAAAGATTAGATGTATATGTCAGGAGGGGAGAGAACTCTTCAGAGTTTTATATAGATTATTAATCATGAGAACTAAAAATTACTGTAGTGTCTTTAGCTTAAGCTTTGAGTAGAGGAACTAGAACACTGACAGGTCAGTAAGGGCCCCGTCTTGTGGCAATATATCCCCCATAATCATCAAGAGGCAATCTGCCCATATAGCTGAGCTTGACATTTGACATTTGGACTTCAAAAAGAATCACAAGGAAGCAAAATATACATTTTACATGTACTATGATGTGAGTCTTGTTTCCTTCCATCTCCATATTTGCTGGGCTAACAGAAATGTAAATACCGATGCAATACTCATTTGTTAGCTTTGTTTTGTTTTATTTCAGCTTAGATACCTCCCCCATCAAGAGCCAGGGTCATAGTCAGAGATCCAATTTGTCTTTGACCTTTGGACTCAAATGACCTTGACCTTTGACCCAGTGACCCTGATCTTTGGTCAGTTGACTTATTCTTTAATTCCGACCAACTTTGCTTCATAATATCAGAACAAAAAATGTTTATCAGTGAAAAATACAAAACTTGACCTTGAACCTTTGGACCACGTAAACTGGACCTTTGGTCAGTTGACTCAGTGTAAAGTTCTGAACAATTTTGCTTCATAATAACATAAAAAAAAATGTTCATCAGTAAAAAGATACAATATTTGACCTGGACATTGACATCGACCTAGACCTTCAGGCAGTTGACTCCTTGTTTAATTCTGACCAACATTACTTCATAATGTCATAACAAAAGGTTCATCAGTGAAAAGATACAAAATTTGACCTTGACCTTTGACCCAGTGATCTTGACCTTTGGTCAGTTGACTCTTTGTTTAATTCCGACCAACTTTATATCATAATGTCATAAAATGTTCATCAGTGAAAAGATGCAAAATTTGACCTTGACCTTTGATCCAGTGACCTTGACATTTGACCTTGACTTTTTACCTCAGCATGTATTTTTGCGAACTGAACAACTTAATCAAGTTTCATGTAAATCAGTCAATAAATACCAAAGTTACCAGCAAGGAACAAAATTGGTGTACGGACGGACAGAGTGAATACTATATGTATATATAGGGCACCCGTATCGGATAATTACTCACCTCCAGAGTTGTAGCCGCCTACATTAGGATTTTTGTTCATCGTTTCCTCCACCCGAGCCCTCCGTCTGTCCCGCTTTCTCTGTCCCTCGGTTAGGTACTCTCGATAACCATAATTTGTCTTACGATGTGTTCGCCCACGATCCTTACAGAGAGCCTCTTTATGAATCTCATTGTACACTTCATTATTTAGCTGAAGTAACTTGGAATGCCTTCCAGACAACTCTCTTTGGACATCAAACTTGGCAAACTTTAATTCCCACTGCAAGGCTAAATCGCTTTGAATCAAACGCTCAACTTTCTTTGGATTACGCAGATCATTGACAACATCGTCACTGATTCGAAATATTTCTTTAGCATAAGGCGAATGTACAAGTCTCATTGCAATTGGATTATGTATAATTTTCCGCATCATCCTCTCCTTTGGGTCCAGATTGTCTTCGACTTTGAATAATTTTACATCTACAGGTGTGTCATCGTCCTCTTCGACTGTTTCCATGGTAACTGTCTCGCTGTTTGAGCTAGCTCCTGGTGATGGTTGACGCGAGGTTGATGGTGTTTCAGTTGCAGCACGAACTGGTTCATCTCTGTTTGTTGCCACTGGTATTTTGGGGACAGTAAATGTTGGAACTTGCATGTTGTCTATGTCGGCAGTTTGTGTGTACACAGGGTCATCACGTTCCTGTAAGAAACAAATTAAAAAAAAATCTGTACACAGGGTCATCACGTTCCTGTAAGAAACAAATTAAAAAAAATCTATCATTATTACCTCATGTCAAACAATTATAATTACCTCTAGTAAGAATAATAAAATGTTTTTATACATGGAAAATTATTGCACATGATGATGAAGAACAGACTAATGGATTAAAATTCCTTCAGCACATTGCAGGCTTTCTAGAAACACACTGGTTTATCACGATTGCTCTTGAAGTATGACGGAAGGCTCTGAATGGTTTCTGATTAGAAAACATTGATGTGAACTGGATTATGTCTCCATGCAATGATGGTAATATACAGGGTAAATAAATAACCAAAAATTTAACTCACATATTCTTCGACTATCTCAGCCCTGATATTCTTCAAAGCTTTCACGATGTCTTTTTCATATTGGTTACTGTATATGGAATCAACTTCTTTCTTGATCACTGTGGAAAAGGACAAGTTATATCTCAACATTATTTTAAGCAAATATTGGTACAACGACGAGGAGAGAGAAAATATCTCTCAGATATAGGGTAGTAACATTAATAGTAGCTGAAGGAAAAGTAGAGTTGAAGGAAAATATTGTAGAGATATGAAAGTAACAACTGAAGGAAAAATTGTTCATAATTATGCAAAGTAACAGTAACTGTTGAAGGAAAACGTTTTTGAGATACAAAGGAAACAGTTGGAGTGGAAGCTCATATACTTATGTAAGAAACATTTGAAAGGAGAAGTATGATACAGACAACACAGCTGAAGAAGAATATGGTTGAGATATGGAAGAAAACAGTTGAAGGAGAAAATCTATGAGATTATAAGTAAGAAAAAGTTGAAAGTAAAAGATCACTGAAACATGGAGGAAACAGTTGAAGAAGAAGATCGCTAAGATATGGAGAAAACAGATGAATGAGGAGATACTGTGAAATCAGATATTTTTGTGGGACCTTAATTTTGTGGTTTCCTAACAAAATAGTTTTTTTGTGGGTACCTGAATTTGTGGGTTATGACTACCCATTCCAATGGAGAATTGCTTTATATCGAACTTCTAATTACTTTGTGGACCTAGGAATTTGTGGATGCAGATAACCCACAAAATCAACAGAATTAAACCCCCCACTAAAATTAGTGATTTCACAGTAAATAAAGATACAGGGGAAACAGTTGAATGAGAATATTGTTGAAAGGCGATGATCATTTTGATATAGAGAAAACAGGTGAAGGCGGTGACACAGACTACTACAAAGATAATGGTTGAAAGAAAGGATCGTTGAGATCCAGTAGTAACAGTTGGAGGTAAAGATTCCTGATATATTGGTAATATTTTATGGAAAAGATGGCCGAATCGAGACACAAGTTATTACAGTTAAATTAAGAGCTTGCAGATTCACAGCAACAGCAAGGTTCAAACATTTAAAACATTGCAGGGGAAACGAGTATTCTTCAAATACATTTGTTGTATGTTGTATTCTGGATGAGCTCAAATTTGTACAATTTTTCTGCCTTAAACATTAAAGATACTGAGAAAGTGGAAATTTTTGTGATGTGGAAATATTTGCACTTTTTTGGCCGAGTAATTTAGCAAGACGATATACACACTTGAATATTCAGTGATACATTATTTCGAATTTAACCCTTTCACCCCTATGTAACTTTAGTAGGCTCTACCATGCATTGATATGGATGAGTCCATTATGTTCTACAGTGGTAAAAGGGCTAAATACATCGAATACCTTATGCATAGATTTCAGAACAATTTCCACTTCACTAACAGTTTAAAGAGTCACAACATTTCCACACACAAAAATTTCTACTTATACAGTATAACATTATATAACCTAGATCCTAAATCAGGAAAAACCATCAACAAAACATAAAAATATTGAGAATTGCTAACAAAATGTGAATGAAATGTATTATGGAGTGGTTATGTAAATTTTAAGGTTGAATCCTTTTGGAAGGTCCAAATTGTTATACCTCTCATAATTTTTCGAAAAAATACTTGACAACACATTTTGTTTCTATTTGGGAATAATTTATTGCAAAATGGGTTTGTTAAATAAACATAAAAAAGGGAGGTAAATACCTGTAAATGGTGGACGCTGGCCTGCTTTCTGGTGCCAGCATCTGGTCATCAGCTGGGTAAACTTGGGAGAACAGTCCTTAGGGATCACGGAGAAGTCTGGACGTTGTCCACTCAAGACGGCTGACCGCACCAAGTCATCTGATGCACCTGTTCAACATTACAACAAATTGCACATACGTAGGCTTATATTCATAGGAAACTTCATTAGTTTTCCACAGATATTTTGTAAAACATTGTCAACCAATTCATTTAAGTGTGACTGAAGCAACATTCAAATCAAAGGCTGTTTCAAGTAATAGTAATTCTGTAAAGCAATATTTCCAGAAATATTTAAAAAAAAAAAAATCATATTTTTTATAATATCGTAAATTTGCGTAAATAGTGCACACTTATTTAGGTAAATGTTGTCATGTCAAAAAGGGGGTGCACACTATATGCAGGAACAAGTCATTCTTGGGTTATTGTCCTCAAGTTTCAGGTCCACCATATTGGATTACCTTCCTTCAAATAGTTTTGTTTGGAGTCGTCGGTCATATATGATAGATTGAAAATATAAAAACAACACAATTTTTACCTAGAATTATGTATTCATGAGTGAATTAAAGATGAATATTATAACACATGATTATTGGCTATGATGTAAACATAACAAAATATCAAGATATCTCAATTGCTTAACTTAAAACAAAACATCGTTCTGTTTCTGAAAGAACACCATGCTTTCATTTTTTAATACAATAGCTGTAATAATGTTCCATGCTCCTTCCCATTATAAGTGCCATTCCCACTTTTGGCACCTGTGGAAATGATACAAGTGCCCTCCTTTCCCAAACATGACCCTACATTCTAGTATTTTCCGGTTAACAAAATATAGTACTACCGGTATAGATACTTTATATCTGACACATCAGTCTCAAAATCAGACAACACTGTTCTCCAGAGTTTAAAAAAGAATGAAATTTCCTTTAGAACATGTCTGACAGTTATTATTCGGTTGCCTTCACACCAACTGCTCCGATCTGTGTTTTGTTATCTCAATTAGCAACCTTTCAGCCAATACCCAGGCCCCAGTTGCTCCACGGTTTGCGTGCATCTGCAGTTATAAACTGCCGAATACAGCCGATGTTCCTGATCTGGTAGTAACAGGATTTGGCAATAGCGTTCACTTGTTTCTCCATGTTCAGTGAACTATATCAAAGTATACCCCTAGGTTTTTAACAGCACGGACAGTCTCAATAGTTCTGGCACTGACTTTGAGCTGAAGAGCCATTGTTTGCTGACACGTTAGGGAAAAGACAATTAGTTCCGTCTTTTCCTGATTAAGCTTTAGTCTAACTTTGATGACCATATAAATTTGTGTGTCATCAGCATAACAAGGAGAGTGAATCGAAGGCTATGGTGACGACAAATCGCCATATTCATTTTTCCCCTTTTCCCTATAACCACTGGTTATCTCTAACCAAGGTTTGAGCAACTGGGGCCTGTGTGCTAATTATGACAAATACAGTATATCTCTTATGGCAGAATTACCAATGAAAGTTTAATTACGGTATAACATTTGACTTCATTAGCTTAAAAGCCAAAATCCTTGATTGAACCTTTTAAGTTAGCCAGTGTTATTTCTGTCATCTTACCTCTGTAAGGGACTCCACCACTTAGTAATTCCCAAAGTACTATTCCAAAACTGTAGATGTCAAAAAGGGTACTGGACGGCGCGTTCACGTTCGACCAAACTTCTGGAGGGACGTGGGTCACTGTGCACCTCCGACCACTAGGGTTACTGCCACTGGTCGCATCTGCCCCTCGAGTAACCGTCATTGTGATTGTCCTCCACTCTGACAAGCCAAAGTCTGCTATCTGTGAACAAAAAATACTACACTGTGTTTTCTCTGCGTCTGAAAACTGGGTTCAGGTGTTGGAGGAGGGGGCATTGATGGTGTTATGGCAGAATATACCACTTAGAGCTGGGGGGGGGGGGGGGGGGGGGGTGTTGTATACAATCTCCACTTCTAGAGAAAACACTATTATTATTTAATTACATTCATTAGCAACACACCTGGTTGGTCAATAATTAAAAAAGAAGTACATGTATTTATCACAATTTTTATTTTTTTTTAATTTTTCACCTTAATAGTACTTTTGCGTTATATTTAAGGTATATTTGAACACTCATATATACATAAAAATAAACTTTTTGATTTTTCTAGTAATAAAAAGTATAATATTTATAGTAATAAACTCCCTAATCTCTTCTCTAATACAGAAAAAAACCTGCAAATGACAGAGATTTTTTCATTTTTTCTGTGACCATTTAGACAAAGTGGGGTTTTTTTTTCATTTTTTTTTCTATTGTTTAATAGACTATTGAGATAATTTTAAGCAATTTCTGAAGCGCAATAAGCAGGCTGAATATTACAGTAATATGACAACAAATCTGAAACACAATATCATTTTTGTAAGGCCTAATTAATATGTTACCTTAGCGCGGATCTGTCCATTAAGTAAGATATTATCTCCCTTCAAATCAAGATGAAGAATCTGCGGATCGTGTGTGTGTAAGAATTCCATCCCCGACACTATGTCCATCAATATGCGGCCTACCACCGGCCACTGAACTTTGAACTCCTTGCGGAAATCCACCAAACTCCCGAGTGCCATATACTCGAGAATGAGAGAATAATTGTCTTTTTCCATGATAGTTCCCAACAATTTAAGTATTGATGTATGGCCACAGACTTGTGAGAGTTTCTTGGCTTCCTTGATTAGTATACGGATGTGTCTGTAAGAAAAAGAATCGAAGTTGTGCAAAGTAATGGTGCAACAAATACCATAAAAACCCGTGTAATTTGCGCACCTATGTAATTTGTGCAGGTACTTTTTGAGGCTGAAAGTCTGAACTGAATATTTTGCGCACCGAAAAAAATCTCTGAAAATGAAAGACAAACCGCTTGGGATTCTTAGGATTTTATCAGTGAGTTCATAATTATTGTTTACAGGTACAATGATATACTGGTTACAGGTACAATGATATAAAAAAACAAGAAGAAACTGCATAAAATGTGTTTTATGTTTTCTTTGAAATATCTCATCACACATAACACACACGTGTGCGCATATCGGCATACATCAATTCATTTCAGCAATATTTTACGTAAAACAATGTATACTGGGAAATTTTCGCCAACACAAACTTTAGCCCATTGCGGATAAAATAAGTGTTCCTCCAGTGTGAATTTAGCCCTTCACATTTAATAACTATGCATATGATGTTGTTAATTAATGTTTGCTACGGAGGGCAAAATGAGCGAAAAATTAAACTGCAGTGAAATGAAGTGCAATTTCACACATTAGGCCATCTACAGAAAAGACACAAAATTACCACAAATTTATGGGCAAAGGCAAAAAATCCTAAGTGTACATTCGCTTACCCGGTTAAACCGGTTGAACCTGTAAAGAAAATGACAGGCACAGATCTGAACCAAGGCTGACCTCAGGAACAATTGGCACATGTAGATTGAGGGGTCCAGACGTACCTGACCGAAACTAAAATGCTGACTATTGCCAGTTTGCGTTATTTCTTTCTCAAACAATGTCAAGCCACATGTAGTTTTTAAGATACGTTATATAATTCAGCGGACGGATGAAAGAATGTCATAATATTCTTGATACACTGTTTTTTTATTTTCCGAAACTGTGCATTTTTAGCTCTGCTTATAGAACGGTCCAAGTGCATTCGTTTACCGTGGATAATTTCTGCGCCACACGTACCGTTTCAACTGGGATACGCGAGTGTAGCCTTAGAGTCTAAATAATAATAAAAACAAGACTGATAGAAGAAGGAAAGGAAACCTACAGTACTCTTTGGTAGTATTGTATGGTGACTTTTAGGGACAGTTAACCCTTTCACCTTTCACCACTCATCCAGATCAATGCATGGTAGAGTCTACTAAAGTTACATAGGGGTGAAAGGGTTAAATAAGAAAATGTGTCAATATCTACTCATGTGAGTATCAACACAATTCCCTTCCGTTTCGGTCAATATTCTTTCAAATAAAAATATGAAAGTGTGGAGGACAGTCAACAAATATTGTTCAAAGATTTAAGAAAAATGGACGTGAGTATTGCAGTTAGAAAGTGCCTAAAACAAAAGAGACATACTATGTTTCTGGAACAACCAAAATCTTTATATTAGAAACTATTGTACTTAAAATGTCTGCTCCAAATCTTCAGTTTCTGACAACATTTTCTTTTTTCATTGAAATTCAATCTGCAATACATATTTTGAGTAGGACTTACATTTCACTGTCTTCAACTTGAAATTTTTCTTGATTGGAGGTTTTAGGTAAACAAGATTTAAACTGTCTTCAATTTATAATTTTACATAACTTTACATTTCATATCTAGGGAAGTAATATGCAAAATTCTTGCTGTATACAACTTTTATTTTTGCAACAAACTTGAGGAGTCACACATATATGTAAAAATTGTAGGATTGAAAGGAATGAGCTGCAGAAAGATCATGACACACACGAATATAACTTACTTCTGAGGAAGCAATCCGTTATCAATGAGAGTTTTTACGGCCACGATTCCGAAGTCTTTATGCTTGGCTCTGTATACTGTACCAAATCCTCCTCTGCCAATAGGTACCTCATCAAACACAAAATCTGTCTTTAACAGCACTGGAGCCTCTGGCTGTTCTTCTGTAGCCATGGCTGTAGGTGGGTGATGTAGCTTAGTCTATAGCCAGATACACAACTGGTACACAGGTCAGTTTCTGCAATAAAGTTTACGTTGATGTCCATATTATTATATACCTGGTATGCATAAATGATATACAAATTTCAATACATAGATCTTACAAATGGAATTTATACAGTATACCGAGAAATTTCGGTCTTTTACCCACAAAATAAATGTTTCGACCGTGTGCTAATTTTGCCCTTCACATTTCATTACTATGTATATTCGCCCTCGTCATGGAGGGCAAAAAAAGCGAACAATTAAACCGCAGCGAAAAGTTCACTGTAAACAGTATGTAAAGCCAATGAAGGTAGTTTAGCTTCCACTAAAGCATTTTTGCAGTTTTACGAGAATTGTGGATTGTTAATAGTGTTTTTCATTGGCGAAAACTTAAGATAAAAAAAAATTGGAGGGAGGGAGGACCTGGACTATAGGTCGATCGCCGGCAACCGGGTACATCATTTGGTTCATCACATAAAATGGTCAGTATTATCACAAACTGTTAATCTAAACAATCCATGTGTATTAATTAAATGTATTTTGTAGTACTTCATTAATGTAATTACATTTCAAGGGAGATGGCTTTATATAAGATTTAAAATCTTGTTGCCAGATCCTTTTAATATTTCTATTAACTTGTGTACTTATTATATATGATATATGAAATAAATATTGTTTAAACCAAATCGTTTGATTTGGTTAGAGCATCCATCTAGAGTTTGGAGGTCCAAGTTCAAAGCACACAGTCTGACTGTGCATTTATTGACATGACAAACATTAGCTTGTTTAAACCCCTTAATTGTAAATAGGTAAATAGATCGGGGCAAAGATTTAGAAAAAGGAGGGAGGGATGTAGTGGAACTGGACTGGGTGGATCGACGGCAACCAGGTACAATGTAGCTCAGTTGGTTAGACGGTCAGCCTAGAGGTTGGAGGTCTTGGGTTCAAGTCCTGGGCTGGCTATTCCGTCTTTGCGTATTGCAGAGTTATCTTCTCTTGTGAGCAGGTATTGATTGTTACGTCATTTGTTTGTGACGTATTTTTCTCACACAAACCAATGAGGTAACAATCAATACTTGCTCACAAGAGAAGATAACTCTGCAATACGAAAAGACGGAATATATTGTTTCATATATATATCTCTGGACATTTCTTCAAAATCATTGCAAAAAAATGTGAAAATTGGCCATATGGCTGTTCAAAAGAAGTTGTTTCCAGAAAAAAAATTAACATACGACCAACGGAGATCTCTCGACCAAGCATCACACAATAAGCTGACTTGCCCTTCAAACTGGGGAAGTAAAACTTAAAATAGCGCCATCTGCTCCGGTGCTGGACACAATGATACGATGTGTATATATCCTGGTGTTTTTGGTTTCCGCGCACTTAAAAAGCAGCTGCGAGTACGAACTCATATTGGTAGAAAACTGTTGATATTACAGATGATTGTTATAGACATATGTAAAATTTACTAATGGAAACAAAAAACTAGCGACATAAAACTGTAAAAAATACAAACATTTCATGTTTCCTTGTCTGGAATTTGATTCAGCATTCAAAGAAACTCAACTCAAATATACTAAAAAGAAATTCTCAACAGTGTCCCACACCAGCAAATGCTTCGATGGGTGTTTGAAGTATCTTTGATTGTAAAATTAATCATCAAAACAAATCTTTAAAAACTGCACATTTGTTTATTGTTTTCAATATGTTGGAAGATTTACCTTTGTATGCAAACAGTGTTTACCGATATAAGAATGTCTTCTATGCATACTTTTCGAAAGTTGAAAAAATTGGCGGACTATTCTCACTTTCAGTAACATCAGGGCGGACAGGCCTGTCTGATTCATTCTTTGTTGCCGATTCTGATTGAAAAGTTAGTGATTTTAGGCCGAAATGACATTGATGCTCGACTCAATGGGTAGTCTGGTCTGCGAGGAACAAGGCATCTGTCAACTTGCGGTTTGTGCGAACTTGACACTGATTATGACACGCGCACGACTCAGACTATACATGTTAGCCAATCAGAATAGCGCTTAACTCAAATTCGGAAATCCCCTTCTCAATGAACGGGAAGTGGACTGGATTTCAGTAGTTCGGAAAATTTATTTGAGGACGCAAATATTTTCGCCCTTGAACCATATTCAAAACGCTAAAGTGTCAAGTATGAACGCATTTTGCGTATTAGCTTGTGTTAATTTTGGACCTGGGACTACAAAAAAGATTAGGGGCCTGTTCGTTAATGCGGAACAGTTAACTGGTTTGACCATTTATAAATGTAACAATTTCGGATGTAAATCCTGGCGGACCTGCAAATGTTTATGCAGGCCTTGCAAGGCTTGGCTCAGCATCAGATAACTAGGTCCGACTTTATTTAACAAACGAACAACTGCGGTCTGACCGGTTTGACCGTTTACACGAAAAAGGCTGAGGTCATTAATAAAATATATCACTGGTGGTTTTTTTCTGGTATGGGTTCATTTTGAGCGAGATAAAAAATGTATTAAGCAAAACTGCAAATCTTTGCATGTTTTTTAATTAGTTATAAATTAATTGTTACATTTTTTCGAACAAACTTCTGGTAATTTTTAGTCAAAATATAAACTAAATATTTATTTTACAACAATTATGAAACAGGGTATTTTAACTATATCAATCACCCTTGTTGGCCCTGATATTAACGTGTGGGAGGAAACTGGAGTACCCGGAGAAAACCCACGTACAGGTGACCCCAACCTTTTCATGTCCGAACGGGGAATCAAACCCCGGCCGCCTTGGTGAAAGGCAAGTGCGCTATCCACTTCACCATCCAACCACCCAATTTTACAGACAACGGACAAACGTCTAAAATTTTCGTGTAGTCCCAGGCAGGTCAGTAGTTATAAAATGACTGCGGAAATATGTATCGCACGGAAACCTATGACTAGTGCTTCCCAATTGAGCATGCATGAACATGCACAACATATATTCAAATGTCAATTATAACATATCCTCAATATTTACTTTCAATATAGCACACGTGTTTTGTGATGAAAATGTCAAAATCGACCAAACTAAGGTGTAACATGCCGAACTGCGTGGGTTATGTCCTTGTGAAAACGAAAGTATGCTCGCTGTTTTCATGAAATGACGTGATCGATTATATTGTTATACAAAACAAAATAACAGTTGTTCCTTCAGAACTGTCCAACTTTACCGTATTTACGTGAATGATCTTGTCAATTGAAATTGAAAAGGGTGACGCCACCAGCCATTTTCGCCTTCCGGATTTCAAGAAAAATCTAAATTTAGCCAAAAGGATTTTCCACCGGAACAACGCGGCGGGGCGCGTCTAATTACCCAATACTACCCAATACCACCCAATACTACCCAATACCACCCAATACTACCCAATACTACCCCATACGACCCAGTTATGAACCAAATACTTCTTTATTACTGTGAAATATCACCTTTGTAGACGTTATTTACTTCCATATGCCATATTTTATCGGGAAATATGCGATTTGGTGCCGAAAACATCACCGAATTGC